GGCCATTAATCAAAATCATAGTAATTCTTTGAACATTGTAAATATGACATTTGTAAAACGTATCAAATGAAAATTTTTTAAATAATAATTTATATCAGTCTGTAAATTTTTTACTAAGTTGTTTACTAAAATCTGACTGAATAGATTATATATATATATATTCCAGCCAATGTTGGAAGACTACCATCTAAGCTTAGCTTTTAAAAGCTACGTTGAATTGGACAACAGTAGTCGCATGCTACTCCTCTACTGTTGGGAACTAAATTAGTATCGGGTAATAGTTCTCGACCGTTAGAAAGGGTCTATTGCGTTAACAGTACGACTGTATTCTCGGTTTTCTTTTTAATCTGGTCCTATATCACAATCTCCGGTCGGCACTACGAATTCAACCAACTTAAGAACTGATATCGAAGAGGCACGGGAAGAAGACTGACTCGTAATTCGGTCGAAAGACGCCAGAGCGCAGGCTACATATATATATATATTGACGCACGATAGTGATGTGTATGGCACAAAGGTTTCTTTGTTTTTTAAGTACATAAACATAATGAGGTTAAAATAACTACACAAACAGTTTTTTTTTGTTTTCTTTCTTTAATGGAATTTGCATTTTTATTTTCAAGATTTGTTTATTAAATTCTTTGCAAATCGAGGAAAAGCATTATAATTGTGCGTTGTGATGGCAAAATGTCGCTCACATTAAAATTAGTGAAATTTTTGGCTTCCTTTAAAAATAAAGCTGTCGGGATGTTGTAATGGCAACTGCACAGTAGAGCTCTAAATATCCGATCGGAAATAAAATATATCAAGTGCTCGCTTTGCCTGTAATTTCTTTATTAACTGCAATCGGCCTTCGTTCGGTTGTAAAACTTAAAAGTTGCTTTTGGTAAGAGAGATGCGCTTAGCGATAACGATTCGTTTTTTTTTTTGCCGTTACATTATCTGGCTTCCCTGACGTAAGCAAATTTTATAAATAATAAAATGCCAAAATAAAATCTAAAGTAAAATTTTACTTTCTTTACGTATCGAATGATAGAGGCGCAAAGAAATTAAATGTTTTGCAAGTAACTGAGAAAGGATATGATAATAAAAAGGATGCAAATTTTTTTCGCTTTGTACTAGAAAATTGGACGCTCGTTTATCTATGGGATTGGAATCTGCGAAAAGATAATGGGTATGACAACAGTCGGTTTATTGTATTTTGCATGTGAATCGGACGATGCATGGATACTAAGGGTTCTACTGCATATATATATATATGGCAATACATAGACAAAAAACAAAATGTTTTTTGAGCAGTTTTATGCATTAGAAATGATATTTCCGCTATAAAACTGCTTGGTAAATAAAGCAATATAACACTTTATTATTTAATCTGTCTGCTTTTCTCTGACAGTTTTAAGAATTTCATTGTAGCAAAATTTTTCTGGTATTGAATGAAATAGTTTCACACCTTTGTTTTAATTGCTTGATGATGATACTTTATTTTCAGATATGTTTTAGTAGATTTTGGTCTGGCTCAACGTTTGAGTTCTTCAAGATCAAAAGAAAATTGTGTCGAAGAGGTCATAAAGAAAAAAAGGAAAAGAACAGAAAATCAAGAAAATGAAAATTTGGTATATTTGATTTTTAATTTGAGAAAAACCTTTTCAAATACATAAAATTATTAGCACTTTTTAAAGATTTAAGTGTTTTTTTTTTTTTTTTGCAGAAAATGAAATCGCCGAGTAAAAAACGTCAAGTAATGCATGATGTCAGCAATACATTCCTTCCTCTGTCACAAGTAATGCAAGAGGTCGGCAATAATCAACTTTCTCAGTTGTGTTCACTTCAGGATACAAAAAAGTTTCAAACTCATCCAAAATTAAACAGAACATTATTTGTTCATAGCTTTGACAGTAAAACTACTAAAATGAATTGTAGTAAAACAAATGATATGGTAAAAAATAGATGTTCTTGTTATGGAAAACAGGAAGTGTGCAAAATCTGTTTAAATAGGTATGTAATTGCCTGGGCTACTGGGGTATCATTTTCACTTTCTTGTCTGAGTTTTTTAAAAATAATTACCCACTTTACATTTTTGTGACTGTGGTGTCAAAATGCTCAGTATAGCCATGTCCTTTATTGTAAAATATAATCCACTCTGAGAAAAGATATATTCAAAAAACAAGTGTGTCGACTTTCTCCACTTTGACATTTTTGGGTGCTGTTTTTTGGAATATAAAAGCACACAGATGCTTGATATTTTCCCAGGGTTTGGTGAATTTTTGTTGAACTACAGAAAAGTTATATGAATTCTAAGAAAAAAGGAATGTCCCTCATTCCCACTAGATGGCACCATGTTACCTAGCTCTAATAACTGGAATACATAATTTAAATGCTTAAATGGGACAGTAGCAGAAAAGAAATTTAGCAATTTTTGGTATATTTTAGGGATCTTCTGAAAATATGTCAACTCTACATACACTAATTCAGTGATCTCCAAACTTTTTTGATCACTTAGCTCTAAGACAAAAATAATTATAAGTTGTACCTCCTATAATATAATATGCAGGTATTACATTATATTAGGGAAACTTGGTGTAACCCCAGGTATCACTTTGCGTACCCCACAACACTAATGTCGTGTAGACCTAACTAATGGTTGGCGGAGACAAAGCAATTTTGTCATTTGCTTGGGTGATTTGGTTTTTCTGCAGTGGGTCAGCTTAGTGGGACATAGTGGTATCACACCGGGATCACGTCTGAGGAGGACCTGAATACAAGCTACTAACCCTGCTCTGGATTAAACTGGCTCAACTCCTTCCTCTTGTCCCATTGGAAATTTTCAACTTTTATGTAACTATTTCAAATACAAGTTTTTTAGTTGTGTCAAGCAACTCGCCGATAGTATGTTTCTGACGCAGTTTTCTCAGTGGAGACTGGACAAAATCACAAACGTGGCTGCTTTTAACAAGCAACTTCAATTTATCCAAGACTTCCCGCTTAAATGCCAACTGATTTTATTATTCCTTTATTTCTTAGTTTTTCATTTACTTCGATTTAATTTCTTTATTACACTTCTCTTTTTTATCTGTAGTTTTCATTATATTTTTTTCTTTTCTCAACAATAAATCACTTATCTTTCATTTGTGGCATATCAGTGCTCAAACTGCTTGGTTAGGCTAACTACATCGATAAACATTGTCTCGAGTTTCTCAATGCCATATATCTAGTATATATTAAAATAGTCTATAATAATCAAAGATTATTGAAAGGAACAAACTTTTTATGTTGAGTTGGTCTGATAGTCACACAGCAAGGATAACTTTGTTCTTTCATTTGGGCCAACACTACAAGGAATCCAGATTTGACCTGACTCAGATTTTCATTGTACGAGATTATGATTCTTACAGTATGAGTTCTCATCTCTCATCCATGCTGACTGACTGACTACTGATTAGAGCTATTCATAATGAGTGCAATTTTATCTAGCCATGTAAATGTTATACTAGTACTTTATATTAACTAATCAACCATTCAGAAAATTAGTTAACTCTCTTTTGACAGACTAATGGCTTTTTTCATTTTATCTCAGAATTATTAATGGTAAATACATATAAAAATAATCAAATCCTATGTTAATCAAATGATAAATTTAGATTCTTATTAGGCTATAATAGCTAATTTGAGCTAGAAATTAAATTTTAACACAGTTGGCAGCTTAACGGCTTATCTCTAGTCCAAATTACTTGGTACCTTAATTATTAATTAGCCATATTATAGCCAGATAAGAATCTGACTAATTATTTATTGTAATCAAATGATACAAACTATTAGTTTGATGATATATTATCTGAAGCATCATGTTGATACATTATTACTTAATGAAGAGCTCTCTACTAAATTCTCTGTCCAATTTTATTTCTTCATGATACAATAGTTTCCTGTCATTTAGTACTGATGTCTTCCAAGCTGAAAAAATAACTCATATGCTAAGTTTTAGTATAATTAATTAAAAGAAAATTGAATTAAACTGTATAATTTGTTCTGTTTTTAATTGGGTGTTGCAATTACTGATAATTTCTTTAATTAAATGCAATTTACAAGAAGTTGTGTTATTTTTTTGATTCTTAAAATGCAATTGTCATGTTTTATTGCATTTAAATTTATGCGATAACTTTTTCTTTTATTAAATGTTAACTCTTTTTAAAATTAGACCTCCAGAAATTGCACCACGTGCTGGGACTCCAGGATTTAGAGCACCAGAAGTCCTTTTGAAGTATCAAAGTCAGACAACAGGTAAATTCTATAATTTTGAAGAATTTTTAAAAACAAAATTAGTTTGTCTTCCACAAACATATTGCTTTCAGTGGATATTATATCTAAAAAGTATTATAAGTTGATTAAATGTACTCAATTAAATAATGGTCCTTTTAACAGCAGTGTCATAAATTTTTACTTGACATAATTCTTTTACATCTCATACTGTAATCCAAACAAAAACATCTATGTAAATAATCTTCAATATAAAAATTTTTTGTGAAAGATTGAATACATTTTGAATTTTAAAGATTATAGTAGGTGAGTATAAAGTTTTGCAGGCGATGTGAACAAAACTCACAAATATAATCAATTAAATAATAGAACATTGAAATTGTTAATAATCTGTCTGCTTTTCTCTGACAGTTTTAAGAATTTCATTGTAGCAAAATTTTTCTGGTATTGAATGAAATAGTTTCACACCTTTGTTTGAGTGTCATTGGAGCTTTTAATTAATTTTGTATTGATTGGAAGAATGAAAATTTGAAGAGAAGTTTGGAAAATAAAATAATGTTGCAAGATTTTTCTCTGAAATTCTTGCACTTTTTATTTGATTGCAATCTCCATGCAAGCACAGGTTAGCATTGTAAATGATGAAAGATTACCTTCCAATGAATTAAATTTAAACTTCACTATCAAAAATGGGGAGGACTGAAGGAAGCTCTCTCTTCAAAGCAATTAATGTTAAATGTTTGGTAGATTGGTAGAACCTCATGATTAATCTGTTTTAATGACATGTATGATGAAATTCAGAACTGGTTTTTGATGAATTTACACATGTAGTTTATTTATTTATTTTGCAAAATAACCTTTGTGATGTTTACTGTTGTCATATACAATTCACTTTTCATCACCAATGATTAGTCTCTATAGGAAAAGGTTCATTTTCATATCTATCAAGAAGTAAAAAAATGAAAGATGCTGGTTTTATACACTTCTATTATGTGATTTCTTCTGTAATTTGACAGATTTATTTTCATAAAAGCGCACAATTCTATCCAAAATGATATCTGCAACAAAAATGTGCCTCAGATCTCCCAGATATTTGTATAATTAAGTGCTGTTTTTATGTTTCAGTATAAAAATGTATTATAACAGTTAAATATATAAGAAATAGAATATGTTTAAATAGTAGCACGGTCTTGTGTTAGAATATTTATTTACATGCGATTCTCAATTTCTTTATTTTACAGCCGTTGACATGTGGGCAGCTGGTGTGATATTCTTGTCGTTACTAACAAAGAAGTATCCTTTCTTCAGAGCTTCTGACGATTTAAGTTCCTTAGCTGAAATAACTTGCATTGTAGGAAGTAAGAGACTGCAACAAGCTGCACTAAGTATTGGTGAGTGACATATAAAATTCAAATTTGCCGGTTCATTTAAATTCATAATTTAACAGTTAATTTTTCGATACTTCAGGCAAGAGAGTGTTTTTGAGTATTCAAAAACCAAAAGTAGATTTTAAATTATTGTGTCAGAGGATCCAAAGCATACAAAGAAACAGCGAAAATGTGCCAAATGAACCGGAAAATACAATACCTGAATCTGCCTATAATTTACTAGGAAGACTTTTGGATCCAAATCCACTCACTCGTATAACTGCGCAACAGGCTTGCGCCCATCAGTTTATAACTACAACAAATTAAATTGTATTTAAAAAATATTTATAAATATGTATATAAAGTAAATAAAATAAAATTTATTTTACTTGAATCAAATTCTCCTCTGTTTATTCAGAAATATTACTCCTACCAAAAACTATTATTTGTGAATACATATAGTGAGCTTTATTCAATAATTAGTTACATAAATGCTTTTCATTCCTAACAAAATTCTGAAAGATCACATAAAGCTGAAAATAAATTTATGCAATAATATTTTATGCATTTTGCTACTTTTATTTAGCTTACATAATACTATTTTTATGATATAACTTCATTACATAATATAATACAATACTTTCACTTCAGACTAAACAAAACGTAACAAAGAGGGTAAAACCTCTGTTACACAATTCCATGTTATGAATATGAGAGCTTTTTTTATTAATTTGTGGCTAGAATTAATCTTTATTCTTAAGTAAATTAGTCTAATTATCAAGCCAAAAGCAAAGTAAAAATTAAATTAGCTTTATAGAAACATAAGTTTTACTTTTCACACTGATATGTACAGATATTTAAAATGCTGTTTCTTTTATGTGTTTCTGTTTAAATTTGTTATCAAAAGACAATATTTAATTATTATTAACAATTACACTTAAAATTATGGAGAGAACCGTGTATAAACTGCAAAACTAAACGATTGTTACATGCAAACCATATTTAATGAGAATTGCTACAGGAATAATGGAAATTATGAATGATTGAATGTACGTCCTTAGAATTGTGGATGATGATTACTCTGATTATACATACAACATATTAAAAATTCAAGAATAGGCTATATCCAGCAATGATAATTTTTATTATTTACATATGCAGGGTGTCTTGTAATTCTTGACTCACATTTTGATTGACTATAACTTTCTGATGAAACAAGATAATTTATACTGTTAAAAAAACCTACTTTCCATTCTCCACTGCAAAGTCAAATTGAGTACTGCCAAGATCAGTACGAGCCTGTAAACAAAGCGAAACATCTTTGTGCCTTTTGGAAGAGATATGATAATTCAATGCAATTAGTGTCAATCTCACAATTTATATTCTACAGCCTTAAATCCCCTTGTGAAAAAAGTCCAGTGGAGTCGAGACTGCCAGTTTTGCCCAACGATACCTCCAGAATGTTTTTGGTTACAAAAACAAGCAAACACATTGCACTTATGTTGTAAAGTAAACAGTGACACTGACAGTGTTCATAAGCTGGATGACATATAGAAAATAAAAGTGACACACTGTCTTGTTTCACAAAAAATCAGTCAAAATGTGAGTCATGAATAGGTATTCCCAATACAAAAGTATTGATACTTTAAAATCACTCGTGATACTGGTATCGGTCTTAAAGTATCAATACCAGCCAGTATCAACATCAGGTATTGAAATTGGAAATCTTGCTGGCTGTCACGTCGCCTTACAGTTGTTTTTCCTGCAGAGAAGGAACATCTATCCCTATCCTCCTTTTTCTGTGGTGGATATGTTCTGAAGAACATGTAAAAATAATGCATAAAAATGTATAGTACATGCATCCCATAGAAAAATGCTTGTTAGGATTCACAACTTCAATGGAATAAAAACAATATGCAATTTAAGAATAAAAAAGTTTGTTTTTTTTTTTTAATCGTCATTTATCATTAACATTATTTGTATGTAAATATAGGAAACACAAAATCAACATACAGCACTGTCTGATATACAGTACATATATTAATAGTACTGTACTGTGCTTACAAAAGAATAAAGATTTTTTTAAATACTGAAGGTCACAAAAAAAAATACAAAATAAATTAATTCATCAGATTTATTTCCTTAAAATGACCAAAAAAGATTTTTTCCTTACATGTGATAATTAACATTTCAAATCTCTGATGAAAGATGTTATAAATCATTCAAAAATATCAGTCTGGATGCAAGGAAATACAATCTTTCAATGTTTAATTTTTTTATAGAAATTATTTAGAATTATATTACTTGAACAATCTGCCAAAAATATTGAGCCACACACTTAAAATTTTGGCTTTGTGGAGAAAATTTTGCCAGATTGCCATTACTATGGTAAAATATATTGAGTAAGCTCGTAAGTCTGAAGAGCTAAAAACTTTGCAAAGTTTATCACTCACTGCTAATTGGCAGATAATCCTAACTAGGTGGTAAGCATTTCATTTTAACCATTGAAAACAAAATATATACATTCTGGTGTTTATATCATCCAAGATTATTATTTCAGTATATATTTATTTTCACTTTAAAATATTACATGTTTTAGAGGTTTTAAAATGGAAATTAATCTTCAATTATTGTAATTATTATTTCAATAGGTTAATTTAAGAATAATAAACAAAATTTAAGATTTAATTTAGAAATTGGAGCTATTTTCTCAAGAAAATTAAGTAAAAACTGCAGTGTGCCATTTGTAAATTTGTTGAAGAGTGCCATTCCTGTAGATTAAGTAAAGTATTAAAATTCTTTAATACATTAATTTATTATTAATCATAATGCACAAATTATAACATAGAATGTAGAGGCATTTATTGTGCATAAATTTTCTGTAAGAGAGAAATGTATGATAATCAGAATGCAAAAATTTTGCAGAAACAAGTTAGAACTAAAGATGGAAATCTGGACAATGATATATTATACGTTGGAATGAACAAAAGTATGTTATCTCTCCACCACACTATTTAATGGAGACAGTGAGGTACAGTCCTTTGTGGGTGTGTCAGGCCCAGTCATTTGCTACCTGGCTGTCTTGGAAAAATGCTCTACTGTACTTAAGAGGGCCATTGATTATCTGAAACAATTAGGGACTGGGGTTGTTCAGATAACTGATCATTTACAAAAAATATAAATTATATACAGTACAGTTTTGTGTTTAATATATCATGTCTTACAAATACATACCTTACATAAAGTAGGACATTAAAGTAGGCCTACAGTTTAGGTTGGCAGGAATACTAAAGCACTAGCAGAAATTTGAATTTGTCAATTAGATTGGTAACACAAAGATAAATACTGATATCGTTCGGAGCGGTATATATTGGATTATTCCCTTGCATGAATCTATTAGAATTAAAATAGTGTGATTTAGATACACAAAACAACAATACAAATCTTTGGACTGAGTTTAGATTTTATTGCAAAATAACAGTTTAAAGAACTATTTACAATTTTCCATAGAGACGTACACAACGTGAAACAGAAATTTTTCTACAGTACATTTGTTCTTTACATGCTCTATTATTATAAATCAGCTGTGAACATAATATATAGTAATATAGTATCATATGAAATCCTGAGCAATGCCTCCAAAAATTTGACGAGGCTAAAATATAGTTTAACCGTATATGGTTGACATTCTTCCATCCTCAGATGCGATAATTATTCATTCATCTCACGATACAAGAATGTGCAAATGCTAATATTGGAATATATACACATGCACACACACACATGGGAGATAATTTATGACAGACTAGTTACAGACTGATCATTTGCGCTTGTACTATAATATCGAGATTCAAATTCTTTGTGACGTACGGATTATTGACTAGTATTGTTTTCGTTATTAACAATGGATTTATACTGTTAAACAATAGTCGAATTTTACTAAGTTCGCTATTATCGATAATACTGTTGAAACCAACTGAGTATTTTATAACGTTAGGATCGTTAATCGTATATACAGCACATGATAAATGCTAAAAATATCCGAAAAAATGTGTGCAGTGCTTACACTCGATTCTGCACACTGCGGTCGGGCGTCGTTAAAATTAGATAACGGAAGTCGGATTCGCCCAAGGTAACAAACGTATTGCGGAATTTTCTTTTACGTAGAAACATTAAATACTGATTCGGATGTCCGTGCCCGACCGTGTCGTACAGAATGAAGTGGAAGACTCGTTATTCAACAACCTAACTAAACATATTTTCTCTCTTGTTACAGATAATGAAGTACGTTTCTGGACAAACACAACTAGGTACTTTTAAGTACTTCACAACACAACAGACACATGCTAATAAAGCCACAATTATAGACCGATTGGTTCCTCTAAACTCAAGGTCGCATTAGACCAACATATCGATATTTTTTTTTTTTATCTTACTAAGATAATCTCTATCATACAAATAGTCTCTCTTTAATCATTTAAAAAACATTGAGGTAATACGAAATATATTCAAATTAAGATAAAGAATATATAGTATATTATTCTATATATTGTACACATTTAACGACAAAACATTATTCTCAAAACGACGCAAGAGCTATCGGAAATCGAGAAAGAATGGCTTTATCTAATAAAGAAAATGGCTATGTAACATGGAAGCTCCTTCCTACAACAAAGCCACGTTGCACGTGACCAAGTCTCGCACTCAGCAGACGGGTTAAAATACTTAAATTTATTTTTAGCGTCTGCGACAGACGGCATAAATAGGTGCCAAAAAAATGAGATGCTAAATCGATTTAAAACCACTTTTTCTTTCCAGATTTCATTGCACAAGGCTGTTAAAGATAATTGTAATACCTTTTACATGCCATGTTACTTTAGCCAAAAAAAGGTAACAAAACCTGGATCCAACCATCAGGTGTTATGGCATGGTTGAGTTTTCTTTGGGGGAAAAAGTTAACGAAAAAACTCGCTCCACACAACATTTTTCTCGAAACGCAGTCGACTTTTCACAGTCCACTCGCTCCGAATTACAATTTTTTTTCATTATAATTTTCTTTTTTTATAAATAAAATTATTTAAATCTACAATGCATGTACATTAATTATAGCTTTTTTTTTTATTATAATAGAGTTGCATCTTTTTAAGTTAGAGAAAAAATATTTTTATATTTTTTTTATATTTATATTTATTTATATATATATATATTCCAGCCAATGTTGGAAGACTACCATCTAAGCTTAGCTTTTAAAAGCTACGTTGAATTGGACAACAGTAGTCGCATGCTACTCCTCTACTGTTGGGAACTAAATTAGTATCGGGTAATAGTTCTCGACCGTTAGAAAGGGTCTATTGCGTTAACAGTACGACTGTATTCTCGGTTTTCTTTTTAATCTGGTCCTATATCACAATCTCCGGTCGGCACTACGAATTCAACCAACTTAAGAACTGATATCGAAGAGGCACGGGAAGAAGACTGACTCGTAATTCGGTCGAAAGACGCCAGAGCGCAGGCTACATATATATATATATTGACGCACGATAGTGATGTGTATGGCACAAAGGTTTCTTTGTTTTTTAAGTANTATAATAATAATAATCTCTCGAAAGTAAATACTCATCTGTTATAACGAAAAGATAAATATGATTTGAAGTTCGACTGCAACGTAAGGGGAAAAAAAGTATTTACGGTTAAGTCAATTGTACAAGTTTTGTAACAAAATACCTGAGAAACAGCTGCCGTATGAGCCTCTACCGGCGACTCTATACGCTGCTCTTGGAACAAATAATGTTAACAATGGTGATTTAAAAAAAATGGGGGCATAGATAACTATTTTTATATACAAAAATTATTGGAATGAGACAATCTTAGAACCATTTTTTATCATCTTTGAGTAAATAGTAACTGATATGCTTCTATTGTTTTGCTATTATGTTATCTAATAATAGTCCTGACGATTATTATGCACATGCGTGGACTGTCATAGGTGCTTGAGAACTTGGAGTTGAGCTGCCACTGTGACCAGATAAGTCATAACCTGAGTGATGATGGTGGTGTGAAGGAGGATGAGACATATGTTGTGGAGGATTTCTTCTCTGTCTCATTGGATCTGTTCAAAAATAATCCATCAAATATGTGCAACTCTACTAAATATTCGACGTTAGAATAATTTCAAATACAAAAATGTTACCTGTTTGGAGATGTATGACCCAAAGAATCGCCATTAATCCAGCTCCAATGACAAATGATGCAAAAGCAATGCCGACAATAGCTTCTGTCGATAAGCCAACTAATATTATCTGTTGCGAGACATCTTCCTTTCCTCGAGACCATTCATTATTCTCTATAGAAGACATGCCATTTTCAGAATCTGTAATGAAAGTTTAATTTATCAAGATAAAAAATATATAAAATCGAATATACTTTACATATATTCAAGAGAAGATGGCACATTAATAAAGAAGTATTACCTTTCTTATCGGAACGGGGTCTTGACACAACATGAAACGGTCCTCCCACTTCCAAACTGAAATGTCGATTTGGAGGACCGTCCAAAAATGGTTTCAAACTTTGCGTCACACAATAATCTTGAGGATCGAAACACTGGATATAATATAAAAATCTGTTAGCATGTTTTTTATTACAAATTATAAACAATTTGATTTGTTCCTACAGTCCAAGTATATATTTTAAACATTACCTTTTTGATGCCTCCGAGTTGAATATTTGATGAGGTGGTGCAGACGGTTAATCGACAATGGAGGTATATATCTTCGTTAACAAAATCCTCACTCAACTGAAAACTGAAACGCTGTCCTGAAGGAATTCTCCTGAGAGAAATGCAGGATGCTGCTTGAAGTATTTCAACACTCAGATCAGCTGGACAACTATAAAGTAAGAAAAATGTCATAAAGATTGTCACACATACAGGATCTTCCGAAATGAATGCTACCATTTTATATTACTGTAATTATGTTAATTAATATTTGGGATGTATGCAGTGTATACCATTCAATAGAGTAACTGTCTGAGTTTAATCTCTTATCTACATTTAAACATCTTATCATCTAATGTCTCTGGGAAGGTCTGTAAACACAACGAAGGTGAAAATAAATATGTCAAAGTCGGAATCACTCATCGCTGTGCAGCGTGAGTAATCTGCAGGAGCTTTAGAATTGTGGCTGTTATGGGAGGAGCAACAACATATGCTGTAGTGAATGTAGGAAGAATTTAAGTATTGGTTGGCTGTGTGCCATGTGAGGGGAAGTGCACATGTTGAGAAACTGTAATGGGCAAATGTGAAACTTGGACAGTTTTCCAATGTTCTTGATAATTAACATAATTACAACAATTCTTTTTGGAAGATCCTACATTAAACAAATTTTGTGAGAGAGAGACAGGACATAATATAAATTTACCTATTCCTTATGAGTATGCTCTTTTTAGCTGTTGCGTGATAAGGATCATTTGTCCGTGATAACCAACACTCATCGACCAAAACACACATATGTGGTCCTAAGCAGGAAAAATATAACATTTTAGAGAAAACATTTAAAATTATCGTCATTAGTAAACTATAGATACACACCTGCTTCCACCGAGGTTTCAACAAATACATAATCATTGGCCGTTATTGTTATCGGAAATACATGACTAGGAAGAGGATTGGTAAAATTTTTATCCAGAAATAAATTCATCTTGTAAATATGAGGATGTGCCATCTATAAAGTTAAAAAATATGGTTAAATATAACCGAAAGACTAAAAGATATGTAATTTTAACTTCAAAAACCTACCCCTTCACTATATTTATATGAATCACCCATCCCACTAATATTATATATACATTGGAAGCTAAGAGGTACTAATATGTGTGCATCGTGACGATTTATGGACTTTGCTGATAGAGTATCGGATCCTGATCCATCTTCCGGTCCTACATCCTCATCATCAATTAAAGTCTCTAAGGCATGAGGAGGTTGAAGACTGTTAAGAATGGCTTTACTCCTTCTTTCGGCCCAAAATATTACCTGAAAATATTTAATAGGTTTGTTAAATATACTCTTAATAATAATTGGAATTAACAGAATATTTAACAATGATTTACTTGATTGTAATACGCTCTGTTTCTGCCTTCTGTCACTAATTTAGCACCGCATCCATCCCATGTAGATTCTAAAATAATGTGAGTCAAATTTCGAGAAGCACCGCATTTTGGATCCGAGAGCGTTACTTTGAGTTTTCCATCTTCTCTTCCTAAAAGCTGGTCCATTATGTTTTCGACTCTGTCACGTGGAAACGACACTCGCACTCTGTCGCCGAGACAATCCATGGCCATTTCTCGAATAAGTTGCATACTGGGTGTTCTCTCTAGATCTATAATAAAAATATTTCATTACACAATTCATAATTATTGTTATCGATAAGTTGTAATCATTTTTATATTCTTATACCTCTATTTTCCCACTGAGTTTCAAACTTGGGAAATAAATATGGCGTATTATCTGCGGCTTTAATTCCCGGTAAATCTCTCATTTCTTTAAGCAGCTTTTCCTTTGATTGCAGAAAGTGATAGGGATGAGTAGGAGTGCTAGCATCAGGATATGGTTGAGGTGATACTGAAGCTGCGGACTGAGGTAAGTGTGGCGGAGTATGACTGAGAATAAGACTGCTGTCACTTTGAATATTATATTCATTTCCATCTGACAAGAAAAAACTTACTTTAATCCAAAAACAAATTAACTAAGCAGAAGACATTGTTTAGTCATAAAATTCACTCTACCTGCTTTTCCAACAATGATCATATTTACACGATTAGCCACGTGAGCTTTAGTAAATGTAGTAACTGTGCCGTAAGCAAACTGCACATCTTCCATTATACCCGGTGTGTCGGCAGCCAATTGCTGAGTCTGGACCCGTAGGATTTGATACTTTGGAAGTGATACGCCTTTAACTTCGTGCTCGGCCTATCAATAGACAACGTTTTGTTCATCAGAAAGTTTTATTTTTAAAATATATCAATGTTTCATTTAGAACATCAATTACCACAACATCCAAAGTTCCCTGTATGCCCCAAGATTCAATTAACCAAGTTAAAGGGACATGACATTTCAGAACAAGTAATAAATTTCTGTGCAGAACAGGTGCATCAATTGTAGTTTGTACATGACCCTGAGGTTGAAGGTGTACAGTGACTTCAGAGGTAGCACTAGTGGAAAGTAATTCCACAATATGAATATCCCTGTAAAAAAATATATATATATTTATATTTTATTGTAATTATAGTTTAAATTAAGTAAGTAAGTAAGATACATATAAATTATTATTTTTAATCAGATTAAAATGTTGCTATTTACAATAGTATCATATTGGGGTGGCATTTCCCACACTAATTCTCTTCCGTCCTCTCGAGTTTAAGAGCAACAGTTTAAAAACAAAAGTGTGTCACAAGCAGTCGATTACTGGATGAAACACGGAAATTTTGTGCTTTGTTATACTTTAATAAATATTGAAATAAAACTATTTGTTTTCATATGTGTGTGCAAATTAAATTTATTTACATTTCAATTCTGTTTAAACAAAAAAAATATTAAATTTTTAAAGCCCGTCTTTAATTTTCTATATTACTGTTCCATTATTTTTCTCTACCTTACTCTAATAAATTCCTAAATTTGGTGGTTTTTGATTCCCAAACATAAATTTGTAACTCCCAAGATCATTGCAGATTTTTGTCTTGGATAATGTATAGTGTCTTAAGAGGATTGCCGACTAAAAATGTCGAGGAGCATTGATTTAATTTAAAACTTTAATTCCAGACAGTAGCAAGAACTTTCTTCCTTTATCTTACATGCAAATATTTTATTTTTTCAGCTTAAATTTCTAGTATTTGCACAATATATATATTTATAAATTTATACATACAAATAATACAGTTACTTCTGACCTATTAAAAAGCCAATAGATCCTATTTAGTAAACAAATATCGGAGGTTCTTCAAATAATCTTCGATGCTATTAATGCATCTGAGTAATATCAACATCACGAAAAAATTTAATAATGATAAAGTGGAGAGAGTTCAAGTTGGTTCGTGTTTTTCCCCGTAACTGACTCAATGAAATTGATGACGATTAAAATAATAACAAGTTAATCACACAGATTAATTACTTAAACTTGACAGATGCATTAATTATATAGTTTAAAAGGTTATTAATTTTAATCATGTGTTTAAATTAGAAAAACAACATTGAAATCACAATTTTTTTGTCAACTTTGGTACGAAACTCATTAAATTTTATTTTATTAATATACAGGCATTCAAATTACCTTACAGATAAGTACAATAACTTACCATTGGATACCATTTTATCATTTGTGCATTGAACCTTTATCCCTTTATGACTATTTCTATCAATTAATGCATTTTATTTTTAATTTTATACATTAAAATGATAAATGACCAAATCTTAGCAGTTATTTATTTGATAAATCCTCCTTTACTTCTCAATACATTTTAAAAATTGTGCAGTAAAACTTGCATTTCCTCACTAGCTATAGAAATTTCTCTGTAGATAGCGAGGAACATTTATGTAAATTTTAAAGTCTTGTTGCCTCATTAACATTTGTATAAACATTTATATTAACTTAAACCAGTTATTTATGTTAATGCTTAAGTTAGTAGAAATGTTTAATGAAATTTAAGGACAAAAATCAAAAAACAACATTCGTATAATTGCTTTATAACTAGACAATCGCTAATAATTTCCGATCTACTTACGTGTCATAAAACAATTGAGTTAATACTTAATTAGATCATTTTGAAGTTACCAATTTCGTAAAAATTAGAAATGCATCATTAATTCCATAGGCAAGATTATAATTATGAAAATTTATATAACTTCATTATTATAAGAAAATCAATTGCAAAGTGGGCATATCAAATGAAACATGCAATTGCTGCAATTAACAGAGCAGAACGGGATCTCATGTAGAAGATTATCTCCAGAATAAACCACCTTTGAGTGATATGAACCTTGCTAAATATCTGTTAAGCAGAATGTTACATTTTAATACATATCATTTTGACAGACAACCATTTAGATTTTATCTTCACAATAGGCAACTATAATCAGAAGATAAATTTATAGAAACTGCAATACATTTGTTAATCTATCGATGATTTTTATTCTAATTAAAATAAAATAACTAAAGGTATTTATTATGTACAAGGCTCTAGGCAAGCATGTACTTGTGGTGTCCTTTTGTATAAAGACATGTCAGGTTCCTAGATCTTATATAGTATCTAATACTGATTTGAAGAGTGAATATCAACAAGCATATATTAGGGATTTTCTGTAACTTAAGAAAGCTGCAAAAGCAAATATAGCTAGAAAAACTACAGACTGGATATTCATTCCTATTGTGTCGAATAATAAATTAAGTTTCACAGCACAATTCCAGAATTGACTGAGCCTTCTGTAAGAACTAATTAGTCGAAAACAATGCTTGTTTCAAACACCTTTATTCATAAATTACTATTCAATAGCCACATTTATCATTTATACTCCTGGAAAAAAATATGTATTTCTTAGCCCTACCAAGGATAAAAGATCCCGAAATGTGTCTATAGCTACTGAACTGCAATTTATAAAATAAAGGTGTTTGACAAGACAAACATTGTTTTGGACTAATTAAGAAACTCAATAAAACATATATCATGTCTAAAGGTCCTAAAAGTGCAAGGTCATAGACAAAAGCTTAGGTTGTTGATACCCAAGTCGTCATTGATGATTCATAGCATCCACGTTATAAGTTTTTCTGTTTGTAATTAAAGTATATGCCAATGACAATCGTTAATTAATCAAAACATATTTTACTTGAATTAGAATAAAACAAAAAAAATTATTTTATGTTATAATATAAAAACGACTTACATAAGTTGTTTATAAAGTCTGCTTAATGTCTTTCGTGCATTGTTTTATACACTAAGTTAAAAAAAAAAACATCGGTTATTTTTAATTTGGTTTAAAAAATGTCATGTAATTCTCCTCGGCAATAAATTTAGGAAATATTTATCTATTCATTTAACATTAACTTATCTGCGTTACGTCAGACACGACATATTAGATTTCTACTTTGTGTGTTCGATATATTTCCCTTAAGGATGTCTTTATTTATAACTGTGTATGAATATCGATTTATATTTGCTTGATATGTTTATTATATTTAAAAGATTGTAGTTTAAATGTTAAAAAAATGCAATTTTATTTTCATTAGTATGTGCTGTTTGGTATAAAATAAATCCAATATGGAGAATTTCCCACAGGTGATCAATTATCCTAACTGTTTTGGGATTTCTTAGACAAAATAACTACTGAAAGTCATTTAATATTTAAAAAAAAAGGAAAATTTTAATCATAATTTGATGTTTATTTTTTCAGTTTTAAACTAAATTCTAAAGCGAGTAAGCTTTTATAAAAAAACAATTAATTTTAATCATTAAATAATAAATTTTACTGTATAATTAATGACGACAACAAAACAATTGCCAATCAAATAAACCAATTATTTCAGAATCTAGTCCGATTTTAAAGATATAAAATAAATAATTGTTCAGATTACATATCCAAAACATCAATCAAAAGTTTGTTAAGAAAATATTTATTTTAAAATATTCAAAAATCGAATTGATGAGTAATGTATCCCAAGATTTACATTCGTATATCTGAATGCCAATTGACAAATTTAAGTTTCAAAAGTATCATATGTAATAAACAAGCTACTATAAATAACTATTTTATAATTAAACACCTAAAAATATTCTAAAATATGTTTTTTTTTTTCTAAATATATTTTTCATAAAATGCTAAACTTTCAAGTGACTTTTTTTATAAACTGACATTTTGTAGAATTTTGTAAAAATTAATGTATGTAATATCGTCAAAATTAAAATAATAGATAAGTAATTTACTTAAATTTGATAGAAATTTAATAATTTTGCTTTATTTGAATGTTTTCTATAAGTTTATCAATATTAATCAAGCTGTATATGTACTGGTGCCTATAGAACTTATTCATTATAGACTATATGCTCCAGTTACAATATTTATTCAGACAAACAAGTTAATTTGCTCTAATAAAAAATGTATTGCTTGTATTAATTTCTCTTATTAATTGAATTTCTATATGGTAATGATGCTTCCCGATCATTTTGACACATCCTAGAATGGTTATTCTAGGACATGTCAAAGGTCAAACATACATTTTATACAGTTCTATTTAGTTTAAGTATGAATAATTGTAATTAAGCTAAGCAGATCTTTACAATATTTTAATAATGTTATAATTTAAATTAAAAACAGGGCCAGATTTGCATGTAAGCTGAACAAGTTGCAGCTTAGGGCATTGAATTTTTGCATGAATCATTATTTGTTGTAGGGGAAGGGCCTGTTATATGTTATAGCTTAGAAATTTTGTGGATCTGAATCCAACTCTGATTGAAAATAATATATTTTAATACGTTAGATGAATCAGCATGCATAATTCAGCATTAAGTTGATTCTAATGTATTGTCGTCAAAATAGCACTGAATATTTAATAGACACTACGGAAGCAATACCTATTAAATAAGACGATAGTAATGACAGTTTTTTTATTAAATAGAACCATTTTCTGTAATTTGTTTTATGTAATTACTTACTTATTTGCATTTGAGGCAAATAAATTTTGAATGAGTGACTTGGAGCTAACCTATTAGTTTCAATTATGCTTAGCGGTTAGTTAAAACCGGTAAGCTTAGTTGACGACATTAAATTTCAATTTAAATATATAAATTAAACAAAACTATGTTGAAAAAGTAAAAATACAATCTCCAATGGTCCAAGTATTAATGCTTGCATTATATATTTATATGGATTTATAATATTGTGAAATTAATGTGTGTGAAGCAGACTTGGTGGCGAGTTCTCATCAAACAAGGAATAAACTTGTATAGATGTTCATACCATTCAAACTCAATACAAAGTGTTTTGATGGTAGTCAAAAAAAATGGGAATTCGTGGTATATTTGTACTAATTCATATGGAGCACTAAAAATAGGACTCACATGGGGGTGCAAGTTATCATCTGCAATGTTGCTGCTAGGGTGAGGGACAGACTAACATATCTGGGTCAGGGGCTAACGTCTATTACGTCAGCCATTCAGTCAATATATTTTACTGTTAAAAATTATTATAAAAGAAATAAATAAGTTGTTACTATTAGTGGCACATGACTGAATGTTGTCTGGTCTGCTGATATTGTCATCACTTCAGTTATGTACATTGATAATAATGCAGATATTGAATTCAATTAATATAGATGTTTTGGAGCATAACCAGATATTATTATATTCATTTATTTTTGAATTTCAATTAAAATAAAGCTAAGCCAATTCTACAGATAAGTATATGCTATTGTAAGTTACTAAAACTGATAACAAGCCTTATAATCTATGGTAATTTAGAATTAAAAAAATATAGCAAATACAGTAGGCTCTCGACTTAATGGACTTTGTGTTTAACAGACAAAAAATTTCTGTCGCAAAGGAAGAAACTAGAATTTTTTTTTTATTTGCGAATATAATTTATTAAAATATTAAGTCAATGAATCGGCATTAGTAGTGATGAAAACACTATTGGATACAATGAATAGTTTTTGACATTTAATTAAAATAAAGTTTGGTACCTGTCAAATAACATTATTTTTAACAGATTAGATTAGTGATGAGTATAAATTAATCAATGTATATTACAATAATTCATAAAAATAAAAATGTAACATACAATTATTTCTTAAATTATAATTTATACAATAAAACTTCTAATAAAATATGTAATACAATAGAGTTTCATTTGCATAATTTTCTGAATTTTCTCTTTCTATAAACAAAAATTAAATTTTCTCTCACTTATCTGATAATAAAGTATATGTGTATATCTCATTCTAATATGATTTACAAGAAAATAAAATCATAATAATATTTTATCTTATTACTTAAAGATTTTTAAATTAGATTTTCAATTCTTCCCATCGAAAGAATAAAAATTAATAAAAAAAAAAAATCCTTGACATTTTATACGGACGTAATTCATACGTATCGTAATTCATATGCGCAAAAACAATACAAAAAATATATAAACAAGCTTTTTTTTTCTTATATCTTACATTCAACAAATTCAAAATAGAAGTTGCTTCAGAGTTGTAATCAAGACTTGGATCAAAACATCTTATTAAATTAAAGATGTCAAGGTTGCAGAGCTTTCAATTACGACACAGAGTTAGTGAAAAGAAATAAACTTTGTTATTGTTTAAACTCATTAAAAATGGAAATATTTTAAAAATTGGTTTAAAATTAAACTGATCAACATAATAAAAATGATTTTTTTTGTTTTTCAAGCTAACTTTGAAGCGTTCACCTAGATTTTTTTTTAATCATTTCATTATCTTTAGTGCTTACATTATAAGAAAAGGAATTTATTTCTTACCGATTAGGATCTCTAATGCTTCTATCAGTTACACAACCTGAGGTTGCTTGAGGTTGAACATGAACAGCCCTTATGTTTCCTGGCGGAATGGTACTACTTGTATTGCAGGTATCTGTAGCTTTATCATCTACATAATAATGATGATACATTTATAATTCATAATATAAATCAAATCACATATTCTAATGCTAATGTTATGCTTTATAAATGCTATAATATATGCAAATTTAATATATAAAATAAACAATTTCCCGGAAAAAGTTTCTACAGAATAAAATAGCGTCCAAGTTGAATTATTTTAAAATTTTGGGCGTTTATTAAATATTATACGCAAAATATGACAACTTTATTGTTTTTCTTTTTAAAATATAATGTGTTATAATGAAAACAAACATAAGGAAATAAAAATCAGGATATGAAAATCACTAAACCAAAAATATTTAGAAAAGAATTTAGTTTCTAGGAACAAATGTTTTTAAGTTCAAAATACTTGGCAAATTTCAATCATATCTCATTTAAAAATCTTTCATAAAAAGTATTCTATGATAGTTTTTGTATTCTATAAAACTTCAACCGTTTTTCTTTTTGTATTTTTAGTAAGATGGAGTGCATAATTTTAAAAAATAAGTTTTTTTTCCTACATATTTTAGATTGAATTGCCTCACATCTTATGAATGGTTTACCCAAAGACAGGCCAAACAGACAAATAAAATTCTAGTCGTCTTGAGTCGACGACTCTCCAAATTCTTTTTTTTTTTAATAATTTTGCTTACAGTAATTTGTCGCATATCCCGCTTAAACAGAGTAAACTAAAAAAAGGTTATAATAAAAATAATCAAATGTTACTGACTGATCAAGTGACACTTTCAATTTTGCTCCTTAACTTTAATATATTTACATTTATTTCATTAAACAACCGCTTCATTCTTGTTTCGAATTTCGTGTCATCTCGATATTTGGTTGCAAAATGTTAATTTGTAAGTACTGTATATACAATTTAACTTTATTATTATAAAGTTATATATTGACAAAAGTTATGGTACATAATCACAAGTTAAAGCATATCAAATACATTTAAATTAAAAAACTGTGATTAGATTAAAAGAAAAATTATTTGTTTATCTGCATAAAAAACATGATATCTTTTACTGTAAAAAAAAAAAAACTATAAATTAGCTGATAATGGAAAACCAATTTTTTTATCTCGAAAATATTTTTAGGTGTTGTATACATTAATGTTTTTGACTCTACAGATTATCTTGTTTGAATTACATCCAATATTATCAGTCAGATACTGCAAACTATAATCTTATATAAACAAATAATGTACTTCAGATTCTTCCTCTTAACTATCATTTATCACATTAATGGCCATTAATCAAAATCATAGTAATTCTTTGAACATTGTAAATATGACATTTGTAAAACGTATCAAATGAAAATTTTTTAAATAATAATTTATATCAGTCTGTAAATTTTTTACTAAGTTGTTTACTAAAATCTGACTGAATAGATTATATATATATATATGTGCATAAATATAAATGAGAGATAAAGAGGAGAATCTCTATGTTTTTAATTAAAAATTCACTAGGATACAGGGGTAAAAATTATTATATATACATACACACGTACAAGGTATCTTCTTAATTTGTCCCTTTTGTTTATCTGAAGAACACAATAAATCACACGGCAGAATTGACCTTTAGAGACAACCATTATTTTGAGGCTCTGAGAAGAGCCTCAAAATAATGGTTGACTCCACTATATGGCTGTTTTGTTCCAGTGATATGTAGCATAAAAAAGCAATTATAAAGACACTTATAGGTACGTGCATACATGCATATATATATTTATTTATTTCTCCTGGAATGTTTCTTCTATATATCCTAGTGAATTTTAATCATGTATTCATCCTGGATATTTGTCACAATTTCTGTTCTGTTCATCTTTTTTGGTATATTTTTTAAAGCGTATGATAGATACATATAATATATATGTAATTATATGTGTATAAAACTATATGTTTAAAGAATAGAAACAAATTTCAGACATTTAAAATAAGGTTTATGTAGCTTTTAACATGGAAATTTATAATTATAATGGATAGATCTTGGATAAAATCTATGTTTATATCATTTCAAAATTGTTATTATACAAATGAGATATTTAAAAACTACAATTTGATAACCTATATATAAAAAAGTTGCATAATACTTTAAAGTTTAAATGATAAATTGTTTTAGAAAAAACTATGTCACCAAACCTCTCCCAATGCTAATTTAGGTCAAATTATCTGAAGAATTTTTAGAAAAAGTTTTACAAGAAGAAAAAAACAAATAAGTTATGGCATATTCTAATTAACATGCGTGCAAGTAAACAGATTACAGTACTTTGTATGTCTATATTAAATATATATAAATAAAATTAGCATATTTATTAGAAGTGTGGACGTATGTTAATTTATTTTAACACCGCTAATTCATAAATAAATCATCTTTTACTATATTTTCTAATATTGTTACATAAATGTCAGAGGAACATTATTTAAAATTATAAAGAAAATTTTATTTTTAAAGTTTAAGAACAGTTAATGGCTGAATTAATTAATGCACCTTTAACAGTGCATGAAGTTAAAAGAAAGCTAAAATTTTCAACCTGGTTAACGGCCATCAGACAAGAGTCAAAAGGTGGAATGCCAGCGTCGGAAGGAAAGGAAGAAGGAATAAACTAATAATGTAAACAAGAGGGGAGGTGACTGCCTTGCATGAGGATGGCCCATTAACTAGATTGAAAATGTTACCATTCTTTAAACTTTACTAATTGTCAAAAGTGCATTAATTTATTCAGCTGTGTTACCAAAGTGGCTAGCTCATCACCAATATTTAACAGATTGTATGACTCAATATGAAGCAAGAATAATAATACACAGGCATTCAAACATTTAAATGATTTGTTTGAAATTTCCAAATGCTCAAAGGATTTTGAACACTTCTTTGATGTGTTTGTTGCAAGTCTGCTGTTTGGTCCAAAAAAAAAAATTTATGTCAAATAAATCTTGACCTCCTCCAATTATTTCAGAGTTTTACTATTCTTTTTTAACGGCATTATGTATAATTTCCATACATAAAATCTCACTAACCTCAAAAATTAGTCCGGCAGTTGTCTAAATTATCACCTTTCTAATGTATTTGACCTACTATGAAAGTCTATCAGGTAATCGAGATTAATGAGATTTCGTGTATTAAGTCATCCTGTTAGAATTTGAAGAAGCGTTAATATAATTTCCATTTTAAAACATTATTATTTGCAAAACTTGTATATAAGACTTATAAATACAAAGAATCCCTCTATATTTAAAAAGAAAAAAGAAAAATTCATAAGGTCATTGTCCATAAAAAATAAACAGGTCACAAATTAGCCATTAAAAAAAAAAAAAAAGATCTGTTTTTCTAATTATTGAGCTTCGTAAAAGAATGCTATTACTTACTTTTGTTTATCTGAATCATCAAATTTATATAATAAATCATTATAATGTTTATATAAACATTATAATGTTTTATTATATAATATATTATATTATATATCAAGTGACTTTACTGGAAAGAAAAAATAATAATAATTATTCCTGTTTACCTTGTTTTATGGCATGCATTTCCTGTAAACAGTAATATATCTGATAAGTATTTAGGTACAATCTAAATGACATATCAGATTTTAAATTTATATTTCTATTGTTATTTTTACAAATATTTTATGAATTAAAGTAATTATTATTATTTAAAACGAATAGTTTTTCAAGGATAAGCAATTGAATGCAAACAATGAAAGTGTTGGTGAAATTTAAAAGTTTACTTGGATATTCAATGATTTTTATAATTTTAAATAATTAAAATTATTTTTTCTGCATTTAATTAAATTGTTATTCAAGAATAAGCAATAAAGCCATTTAATTATTCACGAGTAATTTATATTTTTCAGAAAGCATTTTGAAGGACAATTTATGTTTCTATATGTTTACATTGTAATTTATCTTTCATTTATTCAATTTCGTTAATTGATAATCTACTTTATTTTTAAAAATTTCTACCACGAAGGCATTAAGAAAGCCTTTTTTTAATGTCTATCAAAGGTTTGGCCGTGCTCATAATGGGATTGGCTGGGCAATGACAAATCAATCTGGATCAAATCACCTATAAAAATTGGGGGTCAAATCAAAATCCTTCAGAATGGTAAACAGAACCTTTATTATCTTGACTATCCAGTCAATATTATACTATTTATGAGACATGTCCCAAAAATAAGATACAACCTTTATTACAGCTTAATAGTTACATTAAAAAATTAAATTAGCCACTTGAAAGTACACAGTCTAAGCTATATTTCTATGTAGTTGACATTCTTTTCTAAAACTCTTCCCAGCAGGAACAAGGAAAAAAAATTCCTTTCTGAAAAAATTCTCTACTTAATGATTTGAACAAGTCCATGACCACATCTTTAACTTTGCCATTATCTGTTAAGTGTAAGCCACCAAGATGTGTCTTAAGAGGTCCAAAAAGGTAAAAATTAGTGGGTACTAAGTTAAAACTATGTACAGAATGGTCCATTACTTCCCATCCATACTTTTTTAGTCTGTCTGAAGTCTGGAGAGTTGCATTATCATGCAGCAGGTTTACCATTTTTTATATAGTCCAGACTTAGAAACCTCTGATCTTGGCATTTTTGTACCTTTTAAGACACATCTTGGTAACTTACACTTCTCAAATAATGATGAAGTCAAAGATGCAGTCATGAATTTGTTCAAATCATTAGCAGACAAATTTTCCAGAAGAAAATTTTTGCCTTTGTCTCCTGCTGGGAAGAGTTCAAAAAAGAAATGGCGACTACATAGAAAAATAGCTTAGAATGTATTTTAAAAAATTAAATTAGCCATTTGAATGTAATTTGTTATTAAATTGTTATAAAACACTGTATCTTACTTTTAGGACATACCCTGTATGATAAAATATCAAGTAATAATCAAGACCGTCGAGAGCTTGTAGGAGTTCCAGGGTAGAATGGGTCCTTTTGCTCTTTTTTTTTTGTTTTTAAAAAAATGAAATATATAAAATGTTTCTTTATTAATAA